TATATATATATATGGCTAAAACTTCAATCCTACCAAGTTCTCCATTGTATGACTATACAACATTTATTTGTCCATTCCTCAATTAGTGAAGGAATGCTTGCATCTTCTGGCTATAGTAAGTGGTGCTGCTGTGAACCTCATAGATACATGAGGTTCTGAGTCGCTGCTTTGGGCATACCTACAAGTAATTCTATATTTACCTTTCTAAGGAACCGCCAAACTTTTCCACGGAGGCAATGCCATTTTATATTCTTACCAACAACATTTGAGTTTCAGTTTTTCATGTTGTCCCCAATATGTGCTATTATGTCTATAGTTGCCCAGGAGAACATGAAGCAGTGCCTCACTGCAATCTAGACTTCTGCATATTCCTGATGACTGGTGCATAGTCATTCTATTTTATATTTTTACATTCTTTGTTTGTTCATTTGTTTGAGACAGGGTCTTCCTGCAGCCCCAGCTGGCTTGGAACTCACTATGTACACCAGGCCTCACTCTGCCTCCTGAGTGCTGAGATTAAAGGCATATGCCACCATGCTTAACCATTTATTTATTTGTTGGTTTATTTATTTATTGGTCTGTTTAAGACAGAGTCTCCCTTTAGCCCCCAGCTGGCCTGGAACTCACTGGTCAGACCAGGCTGACCTTGAACTCACAGAGATCTGCCTGCCTCTGCCTTCCAAGTACTGGCACTAAAGGTGTGTGCCACTCTGCCCAGCTTTTTTTTTACATTTTTTAATACTATATTTGTATTTTGTGTAGTGGGCTATGTGGGGAGTGCATGCATGTATGTGTTTATGTTTGATGAGAGAGATTGAACATAGAACCTAAGCTACATTTGTTTGTATGTTTTTAATTTTGAGAGTTAGCCATGGCTAGACTTGAACTTGTGGTTCTCCTACTTCAGACTCCCATATAGCTGGGATTACAGGCCTGCACCTCCAGGCCTGGCCCAGGGCCCTGATTTTTTAGCTGAATTTTTGTGTATTTCATACAGAACATCTTTTTCTAAATTTATTTTTATTTTATGTGTATGCGTGTATTGCCTGCATGTAGGTAAGTGCACCTGTGTCATGCAATGCCCACGGAAGACAGAAGAGGCTGTGATCCCCTGGAACTGGAGTTACGGCAGTTGTTAGCTGCCATGTGGGTGCTGGGATTCAAACCCGGGTCTTTGCAAGAACAGTCAGTGTTCTTAACTGCTGAGTCATCTCTCCAGTCCCCTCCATACAGAGCATCTTAATCATCTTTATACCCCCTTCCCCATTGAGCCCCTCCCTCAGCCCCCGCCCCAATGGAATTCATTCTGTCACTTGTATTAAGGCCTGTCATGGCAAATGAGTGTCCCCAGTTGTCCCTCACTGCAAGTTCATCCACTGAGGTCTAGTCAGCCTATCTAGAGTCCCTCCCTTTAAGAAGATCAGCTCTTCATCACCCAAAAGTAATCAGCTGCCAATAATTCTTTGACTAAGATTAGGGTCTGCTGTTCATCTACAGTTCTGTGCTGGGTTTTTGTCTCCTTGAGTTTGCATGGGCCTTGTGCATGCTGACACCATTGCTGTAGGTTCATATAAGAGTCCCAGGACCCTGTAGGATTCTATTTCTGTATGGTCATGCAACCTTCTCCCTGGTTTTTACAATTGTTCTGCCCCCTCTTCTGCACTGGTCCCTGAATTCTGGGTGGGTGGATTTAATATAGGAGACCTGTCCAAAGACCCACACTCTGTAAATTTAAGGTTCCATATTTTGCACATAGTAAGAAATTACATTAGTCTAGGGATGTGACAGCCTTAGGGTTTTCTCTAAGATCTCTAACCTCTCCAGCTATGTGTATTTGGCTGGGTTTACAGTACCACACCTGGGTTTCCTCCCACTGAGTGGGCTTTAAATCCAATTAGGTAGCTTTTGATTACCCCCCAAGATTAAAAGTGCCAGTACTGCACCAGTGTCATTTGAAGCTGAGGTTGGACCAGCAATTGATACGATGGATGTTCTCCCTTAGCAGCTTGCATAGTGCTCTCCAATGCTATGAGAGCTCTCCTTCAGGGGAGGTGGCTTCCAGGTCAGTTCCAGCTCCATTGCTCCAAATCCCGTGTCTGAAGTATGCCTTTTTTCAGCAATAGGGTCTTACCTTTAAGTTCTAGGAGGCAATCAAGGGCTGTGACAATAGCCTATGTAATTTTGGGAGTCTCTTGGACTACCATGGCCAGCAACTCAAGGGAAGGTTTCTCCTGTCTGGCACTGTTTCTTGTTATGTAGCCTTCAGCTATGCACACGGACTCATGTAGAGATAGTGTATGTGTAATTTTTCAGTATCAAGGCTGTATTAGTCAGGGTTCTCCAAAGAAACAGAACTGGTAAAATGAATATATATGTATAGAGATTTGTCAGCTTAGCTCACAGGATAGAGTCCGAGTAGTCCAAAAATGGCTGCACCACACTGGAGAGGCTGAGAATCCATAGTCACTCAGTCCACAAGGCTGGATGTCTCAGTAGTCCCAATCTGGCGCTGAAGGTCTGACAAATTCCAAAAGATCAGCAAGACGAACTCACTAGCGAGAAAGAAGGCAAGCAGCAAGAAGCCTGGTGTTCTCCTCTGCCTTGGCCTTTTACACCGGCTTCCATCAGAAGGTAACACCCACATTTAGGGTATATCTTCCAGCTTCAAATGATCCAATCAAGAAGATCTCTTTCATTTCAGTTAATCCCAGATCCAGTCAAGTTGACACCCAGGATTAGCCATCACAAAGGCCCTATTTTTTGAGATGTATTATAGTTGTTTCATGATTAGAACAGAATGCTTAAAAACATGCATGGTACAGAAGGAGTAGCAAAAGAGGGATGGAGGGAATAAACTAACTAGGTTCAACTTGATATGTATAAAATGAGTTAGCAAAGCCAGACACAGTGGCATACACCTGTACTCTCAGCTACTTGGGATGATGAGGCAGGAGGATATTTGATTCCAGGAGTTTAAGAACAGCCTGGGTAGCACAGTGAGACCACATTTTAAAAACATGATAAAATGGGCCCAGTATGATGGCTCACACCTTTAATCCCAGCATTAAGGGGGTAGGTATATCTCTGAGTTTGAGGTCAGTCTGGTCTGCATAGCAACTTTCAGGCCAGCCAGGGCTACAGGGAAACCATGTTTGGGGGCGGGGGGAGGTGTTTGGGGGAATGTGGATGTGGATGGGTGGGTACAACAAAATGGAAATGGCCTAGCACCTGTCTGAGTATGATAGGCTGGGCACTGTGGTTAGGCTTCTTCCGCATCCTCTGCTCAGAATACCCATGGAAATTCTGTCCTGTCTCTCCCCCATTGCAGGTATCAGTCCCTCAACCTGACCCATGTTCCTGAACACAGTGCACCCATCTATGAGTTCCGGTGACAGCAGTTCAGAGCAGCAGCCAAATAAAACTGAACTTGGCAACAAAGAGCTTTGCCAAGGAAATTGTGTACCTGCCAGAACCAGGAGAGGTGTGTTCCTGTTTCTTCACGAGCAGACTTCATCAGAAAGCATGAATGCTAACCTACAGGATCCAAGGACCATGGCCGACCTGCAGGCAGGCAGAGGGAGCTGTCCACATCCCACCCTCCTCCCTCTCTGTGGCATTGTGGTCACCATGTAATTCTGAGCAAACTTAAATGCACTTTCCTTCCTGCACAGCTAATTTCTGCATCACTGAAATACCAGCTTTCCTCCACCTGCCTCCAGCCGAGTGGAAGGTCAGCTCCTGGGTCATCTCAGCCTTGGTGCTCAGTGGTCCCCACCCAGGCCCTGTCTCTTCCCCAGTTGCTTGTCTGGTAGCCCAAGGAAAGGTAGAGCCTAGCATCTTTGTGCCCCAGAACTCTATGTGAGGAGTTGGCTGGCCCTGGCATCTACTACCAATGAAATGAGGTGGGGATCTTAGTGGGCCTCATTGATGTGGTTCCAGTTTGGATGCTTTATGGGGCCAGCAGTACTGCTGAGCCCTGTACTTTTAACAATGCAAAGCTAGCACATGGCTGTCAGGTTCCCTGGGCCTACTGTTGGGGATCACTAAATTTAAGGCTTCCAGATCCCTGGTAGGAACAGATCCCAAACTGCTTTCTCAGTACAATTTGCTCCAAACTTCTGAACTTGAGGGCAATACTAAAATATAAGAGTTTTTTATTACAAAATTATTATTTTTATGGTCCCTTTAACAAGGACCCTGTGGCAAATGCACAATTATTCTGGATTACATTTTATCGTTTTCATATTGAAAACAGCAAATGTTGACTTAGTGATTTTTATATCTATGTCTAAATGTATATTTAATCAACCAGCAGTTTTAAAATAAGTCATCCTGGTACAAAAGTTTTGCAGCATTGCATAAATTATAGTACTAAACACAAGAACTGTTCTGGGGCCAGTTGAGCATTTGTGCCCCTTCCTTTCGCTACTCAAAACATCAGTGTATCATGACAACTTTTTCCAAAGGCAGAAGGGGTCTTCATTCCCCAGAAACACTTATTGAAATGTTGGGATGGGGGGGGGCAGGAAAGATGAATGGGCTCAAATAATTCGAGGCTTGTGTGCCAAAGTGGGGAGGTGGGAGGTGTTTGGTTTGGTTTGGTTTTTCTAAATGTTTGAAAAGCTTGATAGGTTGGCATCAGTTGTAGTCTACAAATATTAGGGTTTGGGGGAATTCTAGTAGTTTACAAGACTATTCTGAATACAAGAGGAAAAAGCTTTAAAAAAAATAATAAAACAGCATCAGGGCTGGGGGTGCAGCTGATAGAGCACTTACCTGTCACATGTGAGGCCCTGGGTTCCATTCCCAGCACTGGAACAAAGAAACACCAAGGGGTTGCAGCTTGCATGTCCATGGCAGTGACTTTCCTTGTACTGTACTGTACTGTACTGTACTGTACTGTACTGTACTGTACTGTACTGTACTGTACTATGTTACTGATGTAACAGAATGTTGCAAATATACTGAATGTTAGGGGAAGCCTTAAAGGAGCAGGAGTAGGGGAAGTAACCAGCAGGCACTTGCTATTTGAAGTCCCAAGACTGTGAGCCAGGGAGTACAGCTCACCAGTCAGTAGGGTCAGGGCCCAGAAACCCTAAAAAAAAAAAAAAAATCCCCCAGACTTAGGTGGAAAAATAATTCACATTCATTCCTGGGGATAGTCAAGTGTTCCCTCACCCTTGAAAGGCAAGCTGAGTATGGAATGTATCTGTAGCCTTCTACTCAGAAGTTTGAGGCAGGAAGGTCTCCTGAGCCTAGGAGTTCCAGGCCAGCATGGGCAACCTACACTTCATCTCAAAAAAACAGAGAACCAAAATTCAACCAAACATCAAATGGCTGGCTCTGATCAGAGTCACCTGGCTCACACTCAAAAGACACCGCCACTTCAGTTAGGCTGAGGGACAGCATGGAAAAGTGAAGTTTGAGGGGCTGTGCTGGCTCTTCCTGCACACCCACTCTGCTGTCCTCTTCACCATGTGAGTCAGTCCTTGTGTATGTGGGGCAAGCACCACTCAGCAGTGGACATGGCCATCCTGGAGCTGGGCTGTATACATAAGTGGTGCATCAGTGGGCAGTCTCTTGTAAACTGCATAGGCCAGGTTCTGTCACAAGGACTCTTCCTTTTCTTAGATAGAAAAGTGTTCCAGTTGTACTAAGAAAAATGAGGCCTACCTGAAGGCTTGATTGATTAGAAGTCTGCCCCCCGAGCATGGGACAGGAGCAAGCATGTACCATCTTGTAATTCCTACCCAACTGACACTTTTGCTGTCCCTGAAGGACCTCTGGGGACTCATCTCCATCTGTAGCTCTTTCCTGAAATGTCTTGGTAGTTTACATGCCTCTGGTACTGAGTGCAATATCTTTGGCTGGCACTTGCATCTACCATTCAGAAATAAATGCAGACTGCAGATTTCCCACTGTGCTCAGCTCCAACAAGCCGGCCCAAGACAGTGACTGGGGGTCTGGCTATCTTACCCTTCACTCAGAAGCTCCACTTTACAGCTCCACTGCTGTGGCCAGCCTCGGCCCCCTCATACCTGATTTACCCCTCTACCCACCCATCCCTTTTAAGATTGTCTAGCATTTCAGCTGCAGTCCAAAAGTAAGCAGACAATGCCTAATACTAAGTAGGAAGTCAGTCTGTGTGCTGGTTCTGTTAGCAGTGTTGAAATCACAGACCCCAGGGGGAACAAAGGGGTTTCTCAATATCTTTTGCTTTCAGAAGCAGGGAATTTATATCCTCTTTAAGGCCTTGAATGGATTTTTTTTTCCTCATAGTCACTGATAAGCTAATTTTTAAAAAGAAATGCCATTAAGTATGTTACATTGTGGTTTAAAATTACTAACGCGTTCTGGGAAAGAAAAATACTTGATTTTGAATCTTAAATGTTTTTTAAAAATTAGATTTGAATGGGTGTAAAGTATGAATATTTTGTTTCTTTATGGAAGACCTGTGGAAGGGTTTGAAGATTTGCAATGGGAGAAGTATTTTGCAGAGCTATCAATGTCCAAATAATTTTTAAAAAATAATAAAGGTATTTAAGCAACATGTGTCCAGTTTCTAAGTCCAAGCAGTCCCTTTAGTAGAAACCAGTTCACTTGTGACCCTGTAGCTACAGAGCTGGGCCAGGCAGGCCAGAAACCTCTGCGGGCCACTATCAGGAGCACACTATACCAGAAACAGATGAACATATTTACATCTTTCCAGAGTTTCAGAATTTATTGAATAACAACAAATTCACAAATTTTAGCAGTTTCAATGACAGCAGTTTGTCATAAAGTCCACCTATCTTGGTAATCCTGCCAAAGCAAAAGGAGTTCTTCATTCCACTCTTAATTATAAACATTAACTCATAGCACACAGTAAATATATCTATATATGTATATATGGATTACAAAGTGAATACAAGTTAAAGCTGCTTGAGTTTTCTCAAGGGGTTTCAGAAGTGGGCTGAGGAAGAGTCAATGTTGGTAACAGACCAGTGCTGAGAGGGAGCCACTGGTGGGGCTGCTGGAGTCAGGCTGGAGAGCGAAGCTGCAAGATGAAGGGTCCGTAGCAGAAAATACCTCAGGTCCAGGACTAGGCAGGCAATTGAGAAGGCTGTATCAACAGTGGGGTTATGGGACCAAATTGGGGAGTCCTTGGCCCTTGCACACACCTATTATCAGACAGGTTGGTGTGGGGCTCTGCCATCTCAGTGTTAGGGTGTCCATCACTTTATGGGGTCCAGACAAGGGAGTTACACTCTTTCTTTGGTCTGCCTGATGAGTTCCTGGGCCTGGTTTCCCTGATTCCAATATACCCATATGCCCTCACATTTCTCCCCAATAAACGTAGAGGGTGGCTCCCTACCTGCTCCCAAGAGTAAGTCATTTACAGTGTGTTGGATGGGGGTGCCTGATAGATGGTGGTTTCTGGGTCCACTTGGGTTACCAAACATCCTCCCTCAAAACAGTCAAAAGCGACTTGTAAAAGAGAGTGTCCTAGCACAAGGCGCAGCCTGAAAAACCACTGTCATACAATGTGGAGTAGCTTAGAGTAGGGCATAGCATGGCAGTTTTCAGCCAGCTACTCTTTCTGTTGTCTTCACTCTATTTTGTTAGTTCTGTGCTTCCTTAGAAATGTGGAAGGGGAACTGGCAAGATGGCTCAGTGGTTAAGAGCACTTCCAAGGGACCGAGGTTTGGTTCCCAGAAACCACGTGGTGGCTAACAACCATCCATAACTCCAATTTCAGGGGATTCTTCTGAGCTCTGTAAGCATTGCATAGCACAGATGCACTTGCATACATACATGCAGGCAATACACATAAACATAAAAACAATTTAAAATATGGAAGTGTTTCCTTGGCACATCAGCACTGAGACAGCATGCAGATTGGTATGGTGCTGGGACAAGCAATGGCATCAAGCATAGCCTGCAGGCTGCTCACATCACTGAGGGAATGCCACAGCCCCAAAGCACAGGCACTTAAGTCTCCTGGAAGGTGTGTACCAGTGTCCTGAAGCTGGGCGTTGATGGCAGGCTCTGGACCTTGATTTCTATGCCATGCGTCTTAGGTTCCTAACTCACAGAACACTCAGTATGACCTCACTCTAGGCAGTGAAAAGGGACATGGCCAGAAACATTTGAGTTTCCGAGGAAGTGTTTAAAATGGTGAGGAGATTTAAATTTTAAACTGGAATGCTAAGGAAATTTATATCAATGATCAGCCTAGGCCACAAAGCAAGATCCCCATCTAAAAATGATGATATAAAAGAAGCTTGCTCTTTTTACGTGTCCTGCAGCTAGATTTCAGGTCTCTCCTTGCAGCAGCAGTATGGGAGCACACTCCAAGCTGGAGTGGCAAAAGTCATTGCAGGGCAAGCACTTAAAGTTCTTTCTGTTGTTTGACAGTATTTGTTGAAGTGCAGCTGAAACTGTAACCAAAGGTGGCATTATGCTTCCAGAAAAATCTCAAGGAAAAGTATTGCAAGCAACAGTAGTAGCTATGGGATCAGGCTCTAAAAGAAAGGGTGGAGAGATGCAACCAGTTAGTGTGAAAATTGGAGACAAAGTTTTCCCAGAATACAGAGGTACCAAAGTAGTTCTAGACAAGGGTTAATTCTTATTTAGAGATGGTGACATTCTTGGGAAGTATGTAGATTCAAATCACTGTTGAAGTGGCATCACACAAAGCTCCCTTTTCCATTGAAGTTCTAAATATTTCATCATATAAATAATTTCATGTCTCCTTTTTTAATATTTTGTTTATTATTTTATGTGTATGAGTGTAGTGCCTGCATGTAGGTAAGTGCACCTGTGTCGTGCAATCCCCAAGGAGGACAGAAGAGGCTGTTGGATCCCTTGGAACTAGAGTTATGGACAGTTGTTAGCTGCCATGTGGGTACTGGGAATTGAACCCGGGTCTTCTGCAAGAACAGTGTTCTTAACCAATTCTCCAACCCCCCCCCACGATAATAAACTGATGATATCTAAACTGAAAAAAAAGTTACTGCATGCAGTGTATCATGATAGACATGGAGGTGATGAAAATGCGGCAGCTCTCTTTCCCTTAGTGTCTAATTGTGGGGGACAGTTAGCAAAATCCTCTTTGGTAGCATGTTTTTTTTTTGTTTTTTTGTTTTTTTTTTCCACCAAGTTCTCTACCATGTTGCCCAGGCTGGTCTTAAAACTGCTGGGCTTGTGATCGTCCCACTTCAACCTGCTGAGTATCTGAGACTATAGGTGTATGCACTACTGTGCCAGGAAAACTGAGTATCTCAATGTTTTTCTTTTGAGACAGGGTTTCACTATGGTATAACCATGCTGGCCTCAAACCTGCAATCTTCCTGCCTCAGTCTCAAGTGCTGGAATTACAGACATGCTCCTCCTCAAGGAGGTAGAAGCCAGCAAAGGGCAACAGATCCCTTGGAGTTGGAGTTACAGTTATGAGCTGCCTCATACGGGTGTTAGAAACCAAACTCAGGTCCTCTGGAACAGCAGTAAGTGCTTATAACCACTGAGACATCTCTCTAGCCTGTATCTCAATTCTTGGTCTTTTGAGACAGTGTCTCCCTGTAACCCCAGCTGGCCTGGAACTCACTATGTGGACCAGGCTGACCTCAGTCTCACAGAGATCCACCTGCCTCTAACTCCCGAGTGCTGGGATTAAAGGCTTGTGCCATGCCCGGCAGTATCTCAATTCTTAAATGCCCAAATTTTAACCTTTTATCTGCACTGGTTCAAGTCTTCTGTATGAACAATAGAAACAAGAGAATATGTGTGGAGTCTGCTAAGTGTGAAACCAACTGCAAGACAGGTCAAAAGGAAAATTATAAAAACTATCCCTTGGGCTCCCCTAACCAAAGCACACCTGGGAAAGAAAGTGTGGGTGTGGCCAATGAGTGAGACCCACAGCAGTGCCTGCAGCCTCCAGCCTATGTTCCATTTCCAAAGCTTCAGGAAAAAAAAAAGTTGTTTAAAGGCAGCTGGAGGGGCTGGAGAGATGGCTCAGTGGTTAAGAACACTGATTGCTCTTGCAGAGGACCTGGGTTTGATTCCCAGCACCCACATGGCTACTAAAAATTGTCCATAACTCCAGTTCCAGGGGATCTGATGCCTTCTTCTGACCTCCACCAGCAGTGCAGGACATGGGTGCACATGCAGGCAATACACTCATGCACATAAAATAAAAATAATAAAATATTAAAAAAGAAATATGCCTTTAAAAAGAAAAATGTGGCCGGGCATGGTGGTACACGCCTTTAATCCCAGCACTCGGGAGGCAGAGGCAGGCAGATCTCTGGGAGTTTGAGACCAGCCTGGTCTATACAGTGAGTTCTAGGCCAGCTCTTGTACAATAAGAGATAAGATGAGGCAGAACTATGCAAGGCAGGCGGACTCACCCCTGTCTGCAGAAACTAAGGATTTGCTTCTGCTTATTTCTGCATCTCATTTAACTTCTCCATAACAGTAACACATGGGTCTTATTCAGGGATTGTTCATGCTCCACGTGGCGAAAAAGAAAGAAAGAAAGAAAGAAAGAAAGAAAGAAAGAAAGAGAGAAAGAAGAAGGGAGGGAGGGAGGAAGAAAGAAAGAAAGAAAGAAAAAAAAATTTTTCTTCCAAAACATCTCAGATTGAAGCTCCCTTATTTGTACATAGCAGGAAAACATGCAAGGCTTTTCATTTGCAGGAAACATATGCTGAATTCAAGTTTACTTTTTGCCATTTTCCTTTCTGATTTCTTGGTTTGCTTTGTTTCTCAATGCATCATTCATCATTCTCCATCATAACCCCTGCATCTCTGGCACGATGAAGCAGAGACACTGGTCACCTAGTTATGTCCACAGCAGTCTGCACCTATAGTCCTAGCTGTTTCAGACACTAAGACAGGATCACAAGCCCACAAGTTCACAAACAGCCTGGTCAGCAACCTTGTTTCTTAAGATAAAATTCTTATGTCCAGGAGTACCTAAACACATCCAAGTATAGCCTACTGATGTTCCAAACACACTATGACTAAGGTGAAATAAACTTTGAGTGATCATGTCTCACTGAAGAAGAGAAAGGTTCTGGGGTTTGGGATGTTGGAGGATTAAGTGCGGTCTTGTGGGTGGGAGCCTCAGAATAGCACTGGGAATGCAGGGGACTAGAGAGGCTCAGTGAAGTGCTTACTGCTTATGCATGATGATGTTAGAAATAAAATCCAAAGTCCAAGGACCCCATCAATACCGCACAAAGAGCATGCAAAGTGAAAGTAACTTGGCAAGGCAGATTTTACTTGCATGATCACTCAGATCCAGGAAGTACACACAGGACCTGGAAGTTTGGGGTCTTTTATCCCTTACGCAAGAAAACTGGACTTTTGGCCCATTGGCTGGGGTCCAACCTCACAGTTGTTTCCAGGTTGGCTAGTTTAAAAGAATCCACATGAATGGAGAAGAGCTCCACTACTCTAGGTCATCAGGCTCAGGAATGCATCAGGACCTTTCCTTAAACAAAATTCTTACAGGCTGTGTGGTGAGATTAAAAGATTAGAATTCCTTGCCATAAACCAGATTCCA